ATCATTTAGTGGAGTGATCTAACGACTGATTGAAATGTATTTGTAAAGTTTAGATTGTGTTTAAGGGAAAAGGCCAAAATGAAAAGAATTTATATTTTGCATGCAAGATCATCTCTAGGGCCTTATTTCATGAGGTCCCACGTCAAGCTCTCTACACCATCACATGGGCCTGTGAATGGCTGTCAGAGAGCTGCCATTACTATAATGTTGAGTTCAACCAGTCAGGTGGAGTATCCACTTGTAGGCAAGTTGTTACGTAATGTATGCTGAATTGTCAGCCAGCACGATTGTGCAGATGTACAGGCAGGCCACACCCTGACTATTTGACTGATTCTGGAATAGTTCTGCTAACCCAAGCAGAAAGTGGCAGCTGTGGGCCTCACTGTGAGAGCCAAATCCACTACACAGCTGCAAGCACACAAGAATAGGGCAGATGTGTGGAGAGAGGGTACAGTGAGTCCACTCAAAATGTCTGTCCATTGAGTTGGCTCCCAGAAAGACCAGACTGTCTGTACCTTCACCCCGTGCTTGCCCATAGCATAGCAGTTTTAGGATTGCCATGAGTTCGTTATACCTACACTAATTTCTGCCTATAGCGCTTAGGGTTGTAATGGAGTAAGTTAATTAAATGTTGAGGAACAACTTGATTAAGTGTGAGTGGGTAAAAATGTATTTCTGTGAAAGCAGGATTGAAATGTTTAATAAGAATAAAATTGAAGGCCTGGAGGAGTGAGTGGCTCACTGGTAGGAACACTATCTAGAATACACAAGACTCTAGTACCATCCACGACACTGTAACAAAACAATAATGATTATTTATATAACAATTTCTGTTGTTGAAAGTTGCTTTTCCAAAAGATGTGGCTGAAAGAGTTTTTTTTTTTAAGTTAGAGAAAACACACCAATTGAGATCTAATCTTGGGACTAGAGAGATGAAGACAATGGCTCAGTAGTTCAGATGCTTGCTGTTCTCCCAGGGCACCCAAGTTCAGCTCTCCCAGCACTGGTGTATGGGGCCTCATAACCACCTGTAACTCTAGCTTTTGAGAATGATATGTATTTTTCTGACCTCTGAAGGTACCCACACATTTGTAGCATACACACACACACACACACACACACACACACACAAACTCAAATAGAAATAACTTTTTTTGTTTTTGTTTTTCGAGACATGGTTTCTCTAGAAATATCTTTTTAAGTGATGAAATTTCTACTATAAAATCAAAAGCTTTGCTCGAGATTAAACAGCTTTTAATTTTCTACCATCATTAAGGACCTTAAATAAAACTATGGTCCTCTAATAAACAAGTACACTAAAATGACATCCATTTGGGTTTCTTAATTTTAATGCTGCAATTAGATAAAAACAATATGCTCATATGGAGGTGGCATGTCAGCCTGCATGAAATCTTCTTTTGCATTATTTAGTGTGTGTGTGTGTGTGTGTGTGTGTGTGTGTGTGTGTGTGTGTGTAGGTGTGGAAGAAAGAGAGGGAGAGACCAACAGAGACAGAAGAAGAAAATAAAGAGACAGAAGGAACCAGAGTGGGGGATTATATCACAGCTGCTGAGCTTAAAATTAGACATTATATAACTGTTTATTTACTGCTTTTCAACTCTCAGGAGGGATTAATGTTTTTCTAAAATTTTTTCAGCCCAAGCAACTAACAAATCATTCAGTTTGTGTCAGTTTTAACGTGTTAAACTAGCCAAAGACTCTGGCTTCACTCTTTTTCACCTCAATCATAATTGCCCAATAACAGCCACATAACTCCCATGTGTACCACGAAAAGTAAAAGACCCAGACACAGATATTGGAGTTCAAGCTTCAAGTTGGACATTAGAAAAGCAAAGCAACCAGCCACTAGCTTCTTACCTCTACCTCAAGCTGAAAGAGCTGATCCTGTTTCCATGATCTCTCAACAAGCCTCAGACTGTAGCCTCTCCTCAACGTGACTGGAGAATGAATTCCTCCTACTGACTCTTTACTCCTGTCTTTTATACCCTTCTAGTGCTGGGATTAAAGGTGTGAGCTATAATTCTCTTTTAGACTGATTCAATCTTGTGTAGATCTGGGTGGCCTTGGACTCACAGAGATCCGTCTATCTCTTAATCCTGAATCCTAGGATTAAAGGTGTGTGCCTGGTTTCTATGGCTTGTAGCTGACTTTGCTTTCTGAATCCTCAGGCAAGCTTTAATAAATCATAAATAATGTATCACCACAACCATGCTCTAAAATTCCAAGTTCAGGGTGAACCATAGCTTCCATTCAATCCGTTTAGCATTTGTTCCCAATATACAGCACAAGTAGGACATTAACATGAACAGCAGTGAGAGGTCCCTCCTCTCCTGGGACATGCGGCCATGAGGAAAAGTGTACATGAAACATGTAATTGCACAAGTTCCACAAAAGTAGAACGGAGGGAAAACGTGGTCTAGAAGAGATCAGCAAGGATGGGTTCACTCAAGCTCTGGTTAAAAGTTTCCAGTAGTGGAGGCTGAACACAACTGTTATTCAAAAATTGATGAGAGATAGATGATGATGACAGATGATAGATAGATAGATAGATAGATAGATAGATAGATAGATAGATAGATAGATAGATGACAGATAGAGAAATAGGTAGGTAGACAGACAGACAGATAAAATAAACAAAACAAACTGAATTAAGCCTGCCTTGTGGCCCATTTAATAGTCTCTAGTTTAGAGGATGGCCAACATGCCCCTCCCTTCCCTGGACCAGATGCTCAGGATGCAGGTGTCTGTGGCTTGTGAGACGCGGAGCTTCTGGTGATCTATGGAAGACAGTGGCTAGAGAATTCCATGCATACTCTACTTGAGGACAGTGGCTACGGAACTCCATGTATCATTATCTCAGGCTCACTCGGAGATGGGGTTCTCAACTGTGAGAAAGAAATCATTATCAACAAGAGGGCTTCATGAAACAGATTCCTGGGAGCTTGCCCCCAAGTTTCTGATTGAGTTAGTCATGGGGCAGAGATGAGATGGCACCGATGTTCAGGGAACCTGTGCTAGTAAGAGTGCAGTTAAATATATGTCTGATATGAATGTAGACAGTTAAAAATCCAGAAAGGCAACGTTGAGATAATTACATTAGGTCTTCATCATGCCAAACACCCAAGAGGAAAATAGTAAAGACCCGGTCTTATGAGAATATCAAATAACCAAACTCAGGGAGACTATCAATGCCTCAGTCAGTTATTTCCCAGTCATAAAAATCACAATGTTTATGAATGGGTTGAGGGTGGGAAGAGTGAAAATGATCACCTCTGTGAATGGCAGAAGAGCCTCCTGTCATCACCTCAGGAAATATATTCAGTTAATTATGTTTTGAGACTTTTTAAGTTACACAAATAGAACTCCCTGTTTCCTTTGTAATGTACCCACCAGCCTCCTAAACTTGTTAGGTCATCAATTAGCAATTGGTGTCATCAATTATCAATCATATTTTTATATAGAAGCAAACTAATTTGCAGTTAGTATTAACTAAAGGAAACAATAAAGGAAAAGGCTCATATATGACCATAGAATACATCATTTATGTCAAAGCACATATTAAATCTACTGCTCGTACCTATTTTCTTCTTGTTTTTCTGCAGATGGGTAGTATTTTTTAGAGTTGGTTTGTATGTCATTTCTACGGGCTGAGTTTGTAGAGGTGTCAAAGTGACTAGACTGGATAGAAGATGTAGTTTTCATTCTTTACATAAGAAAGGTCATTTTGGTATCAGCACAGTAAGTGAAGGTTTTAAAGAGACACAGGGAACATCAACACTCTTATTCCAGTGTTGAATGTTATTTCAGGGAAATCGAAGCTTGGAATTGCCTGTGGGAGTGTTATGTATTCAATCATGACATATGAAATACGGTGCACACAGGAGAGCCAGGTACAAATATGCATCAAGCCCAAACACACACACACACCACACACACACACCACACACAACACATACAACACAACACACACAACACACACATATAACACACACAACATACACACACACATACACACACACCACACATTGATACACACACACACCACACACACACCACAACACACACAACACACCTGTACCACATACACACACATACGCCACACATACACCACACACACACACACCACATACACCACACACACACCACACACACTGACACACACACACACACACACCACACACCACACACACCACACACACACACACACACACACACACACACCCCACACACACACACCACACACACACACACACCACACACACCACACACACTGACACACACACACACACACACACACACACCACATACACCACACACACACCCACAACACCCCACACACACACCCCCCACCCCCCCCCCCACACACACACACACACACACACACACACATGCACACACCCTTTCTACTGAACCTAAGAAGATTAGGCTACTTTCCACCTACAACAATGGTAGTTTCACGCAGTTCAACATTTTATTTTTGTGGAAAAAAGAGAGAGGGATAACTGGCTTTTCCTTTTCTGCAAATAAATTTCCTAACTTTCTAAATCCAATTTTAAAAAAATGGGGTGACCCTTCTGTCATTTGACACTTCTTCTGTGGTGTTTTTTTTTTTTCCCTATTCATTTTTATTGATGACTTGCCAGTGTCACATGCATCCTGAGTTTAAGTGTTCAAGGTTCAAAGGACATAAAACAGGTTTGCTATCCATTAATTGTCTTCTTTTGCTCTTTCCAGGGCTGTGTCTGCAAAGGCAAGGGCCAGTGCCTCTGCTTGGGGACCAAAGGGGAGAAGGTAAGAACAGAAATTAACGCTGCCTCTCCACACTGGAGATGCCTTGAGTCTGTCACACTTTGCTCTTCTGTAGCAGAGATCACCACTACATTATCGAGTCCCCTAAATCCACCTTTAAAGTAATTGTATATAAACATTAACCTTAAACAATGTCGAAAGCCTTCTAGGAAGCTTTGGCTACTCCCTTTACCATGTGTAAATACTGGCAGTTAGACTGTAACTCTCTCAGCTGAATAAGTAGCAAGTTGGCAGGGGGGAAAAAGAGCATTTTAAGAAGCCTCCCTAGCATACACTATATTTATGATGTCGCTAAACATGAGAGAAAAAATTAAAACAACTTGATTCTCTCGCTTCGATATAAACATTGAAACCCACAGATGCTGTGCCGCAGTACTGGACAAGACTGCCCCCTGGTGGCAAAATCCTGCAGCAGCACTTCAGTCAAGAAAAAAAAAAAAAAAAATTCAAAGCTCCATTGCAGAATTCAAAGAAAAAGAATGCTGTGAAATCTCATCAGTCCGCTCCATTAACTCGCAATTTATGACAATTAAGACAGGGGCAGAGCTAAAGTATTTTTGTTTGTTTACAAACCCCTTCCTCGGAGACATTAATTAATTGTTCAACAATACTGAAGGGCAACTATTAAAAAATATTTCAAAGAAAGCACATTTTAAGCTTTTTAGATAAGATAATTTACATATAAATATATACTAATTACAATAATTATTTTGCTTATAGATGCAATCTCTATAATTCGCTTGTACTAGTGTCCTCCCCCTGCCCCAGGAAGCTCTGAATGTTGCCTGTTCACATTTACTCTGGAATGCACTCCCTTTGTCCTTGAACTTGCATTCAGGCATATATTGAGTTGCAGCTGTATGCATGATGCAATTCTGAAACATGGGAAAGTAACTGAGCTGTGAGAAGGATCTAGCAAATCCACTTCTTTGTTTATTGATGTGCTTGCCTATATACCAACATAAAGTAGCAGACTTTTTATCTTTTCTGTGGCTTTATTCATTCGTTGTGTTTGCTAATTGCAACAAAACAAATTGACTAGTGGCCTTGACTGTTGAAGACTGTTCCCCGGTAGGTATTCACAGCCATGGGAAGGTTTTGTTGGCCAAACTCTATTTCACTCACCTCTGCCAGGCTCTTCCCCCATAGCATCATCCAGCTCCACCTACAAGATCATTTGGTTCACACTTTGTGGTATGCTGTCCTTGACACCTCTCCTGAGGCTTCTGTGGAAATCATTGATGGGGGAATGCATTCCTGTGCAACAAAACAGCTCTCTAGTCTGTACCTCCATGATATTCTGTTTTAAATTCTGTCATTATGAAGACCTCAAAACATGGCCCTCCACCTTACCGTCTCCACACCTTAATAAACACACTCCACTAACCTTCATTTTCTAACCATACTGTCCTTTCAGTTATTGGTCCCCTTCCCTCTAATCTCCAACCTGAGCAGTAGGGCTACCATCTGGATAAAGTCAGTCTCTACCAGGACATGAGCCTCACTCTGAAGCCGATGGGCATGTGTTACTCGATGGCAGCTTTCCCTGGAGTTGAGTGATAACTATTAACTCCTTGACCCAAGGGAAGACTGGTATAAAGAGGAGTGGTGTGGCTCAGTGTGTTGCTAGCTAACTGCAGCTTGCTTCTTGTTTCATTTTGGTTTTAACAGGGGGAGAAAGGCTATCCTGGACCTTCTGGTTTTCCTGGCCAGAAAGGATTTCCAGGTCCTGAAGGCTTTCCTGGACCACAGGGACCCAAGGTACGTCACATTGCAAACTTGGTGAATCCTCTGCCCACCTAACCATCTTCGTGCCCACCGCAAAAGGCCACCAGGGCTCTGAAAGGAATTCCCCATTTAGCCACCAGGTGGATGGAAAACAAATTCTTTGTTTCCTATCTTAGCTGAGCTTTCAGAACTGTACTCTTAGCCACCCAGACCCCATGTACTTTCCACCCATGAATCTGGCAAAGCTTGTCTTACATGGGAGGATGAGGTTTTTTCCTCCTTCACTGAAGACCTGTTCCTCTACCTGTGCCCTGACCACTGGGATTCACCGTGACCCTGGTCCAGGAGCACCTCCTTTCTGAAGGACCTTTGAACTATGCCTTTGATGTTGGCTTATTACAGTGATTCACCAATACATAAGCAGATAGGGTATGGATATATTTATTGGGGAAATATGCCTTACTTACAGTGCACCTAGCCAACCGCCAGGAAAACAGAGCAAGTCGAAGCAACAGCAAGAAGAGAGCTTTCCCACGTGTGTCCCTGTCTCCTAAGCTACACTCACCTCATCCTGTCCACGCCCTAAGAGGCATGGACAGGTTTACCTGTAGCCAGTCCCAGGAGGCGTAGTCAGGGTGACCCCTACATTAGCTCTTCTCTTTTAGTGCTGAAACATGCAAATATTTTTTCTATACTGGATGTAACTTCATCTAGTTTCTTTAGGTACCCTAAACAGAGGTTTGTCATCCTCTCCTTGTCTTTTCTGTGGCCAGGTTCTTGAAGGAATAGTTAAGTTAATCTGTCGGTCTCCTGCTCTTCTCCCCTTAGCCAGTGGCACCTTGTCTTTGGCTTCCTCTCCTGAAAACCTTCCTGCAAACCTCACAGTGACCTCCGATGGTCACCGCAAGGGGTCCTTTTGTGTCTTTACTTGACATGAACCTCTGCTTTGATTCACATGAAGTGGGTCAGGAGACATCTGTCTGCCTTTGATTTTGGAAGTCCCCTAACCCTGATTCTCTTTCTGTCTCCCCATCCACGGGTTCCTTTGTGGTGTTCTGTTGAGTATCAGGCTTCTGAGGCTATAACAGAGCCTGCTGCCCATCCCACTTGTCACAGATCTTTATCCTAAAGGCTGTGACCACACAATGGGCCTTGCTTTAATAAATACCAGAGAGGATTTACTAAATTTCTCTCAAGCACTAGATCTGTTGATCTTACCTTCCTGCTGGGGATGTTAACTAGAACACTGGGGCTGTCGGGCCTACAAACTCGCCGGACTACTGGCCTCCAGCAAACGGTCAACTAATAACGGGTAAAAGATCATTGTAATTGATCTTTGTGGAGTCTTTCAAATTCCATAGTGTATTGACATATATATTAGAATAATGCATAGAACACTTAAATGATGTATCTACTCCATGCCAATTATTCCTCCCGGTATTTCATCTATTCCTCGTGTTGCCCCTGTGATGCATACAGAGAATTCAAGGAAACCTTTCTGTTTACCACCTTGCTATAAATGTGAACAGACAGACAGACAAGAACATAGGGTTCATTGAAGGTCCCCGAGGAGGCAATTTCATCCCCTGGAAGTGAAATGTCTCAATGTCCTGGCGCATGGTGGGCACATGGTGAGCACCTGCCCAGAGCTCTCTGTAATCACCTAAGATTGGGGACTCTTGCAGACACTTCCTAAAGGACTCAGGATCCACTCTCAACTCAGGCTCTAGCTCCCCTGCTCCCTAGACAATGGGGCTGCTGTCAGAGGCTCCAAGCTTCTAATCAGGGCTTGGCTTTTCTGGTGACCCGCCCCAACCAAAAAAAAAAAAAAAAAAAAAAAAAAAAAAAAAAAAAAAACCTCTTCAAAAGATGTGACTCTTGATGTGTCAGGAGATTCTGGGGGATTTGGGAACACTATATGGAGTCAAACATTAGGTGACTAGAGACAACCCTTGTTCCCCAGTCTCTAAGGAAGAATAAAGGGTCTTGGGAGCTACAGGCCAAGCACTGAAGGTAAGGCCAGCTGTCTGTTTACCACACCTAAGACCAAAGCCATACTTCCAGTTTGCAAACCAAGCCCAATGCCCAGGAACTCTACAATTCCTATCTTGTCTAGGTCAATGTTCTCTTTCTCCTTTGCTTTTTCTGATGCTAATCTTGAATTAGCTAGGGTGGGAAGATGGCTTAGAAGGTAAAATGTGCTAGCTATACAAGCATGAGGACTTGAGTTCAGATCCCCAGCACCTCTGTAAAAGCCAGACATAGCAATGTGCATCTATATCCCCAGGGCTGAGAGCATAGGAGGGGAGACAGGGCATACGTGGATCTCATTGGCCAGCCAGCCTAACTGAATTGATAAATTCTCGATTCAGTGAGAGACTCTGTTTGAAAGCATAAGATGGAGGATGATAGAAGAAGAAAGCAAAAAATGAATCTGGCTTCCACATACATACATACATACATACATACATACATACATACATACAACAACCACACACACACACACACACACACTTTAAAAAACTCTGATTGGGTATTTCATTGACTGCTTTCAGGACTTGAGCTTGCATTTCATTTCATTTCACTGGTAAAAGATTTTTGATGTGTGAAGCCTGTAGGTAGATTAGCTGAGAATTCCTTTGTTATTTCGTTCTTTATACCCTCCTGTTTGCTTGCCCTTAGCACCTCTTTAGGAATACCAGTCGCCATTAGAGTTGTTAGCTCTATGGTGCTTCTCGTGGATTGCATGGTGTGCAAATGTTCCATAAAACTAACCCAGAAAACACCTGACATGTCATGAGATCTTATTTTCAAACATGTCTTGTAGACACATACAGCCCCCAAGGAGAACTTGACTGAAGGCAAACAACCAGAGAACATCAAAATCTTGCCAAAATATTTTTCAGATTTATAAGCTTCCTTTCTCAGTGCTATTTTGTGCACATGAAGATTTACAACAGGGAAATAAAACCTGCAAATCTGTCTTCTTTACTGCCCTCTGCATAACACAAAGCAGCTCCCACAGGGGAAAGACACAGCCTTGAACACGGCCTTGCACCTAGGAATTCCACCTCAGAAGGGAACGGCTGACTTTGACCTTGATGGTCCAATCTCAGAAGACTCTGTAACATCCCTTTCTCAAAAAAGAAAAGAAAAGAAAAAAAAAAAACTCTGAAACTCTCTGGAATGATTAAAAAAAAAAAAAAGCATTTGGACAATGGTGGTTTCACAGCAAGTGGCTTAGTTAAAATCTTCTCCATTTAAGGATATTCACTGTGGAAGAGGGCCTCAAACCAGGATTCATTAAGCGCTGGAGGCTAAACTATCTGTGCTGCAGCCAGTCCCCACTTCATTCATTATTTCCTCCCACACATGGGGCACATTGTGTTATGAAGTGTTTCTCTTGCACAGAATCACCGGCTGCTGGTCTCCTTTGCTGCTGTGATCATGGTGTTCTTCCTTATCGGTCTTGGGCAGCTGCTAGGCTAATATGGGTCTTCCATAGGCTCATGCTCTTCCCAGGGCAGGAGAACCTCTACAGAGTCCTGTGGAGATGTGGATTCTGAATCAATATGACCAGGAAGAGGAGTGGGGCTGTTTGAGACCAAGTCTCTGGTCGTTGGTCCCTGATCCTACTTATGAGTAGCAAGGGCTTGAATGCAGCTTTGTTGGCCCATTCTGATTGGTACTTCTGATTGGAAGCAGCAAGTGATTAAGCTCTATCAACAGTGAAATAATCACAAGACCAAAACTGCTCAGCGTTCAGACAAGCCTGGGGCCGTGGATGTGTGGGTATCCTAGCACCAAATGGTTTTTGCTGTACTGACTTTTCCTTTTTCCACTTGGATCTAGGGCTCTCCAGGACTTCCAGGACTCACTGGTCCCAAAGGCATCAGGGTTAGTAGTCCCACGCATCCTTTCCAATGGTTGGTTGAACACTCTTCGTCTAATGGTAGATGTTATTCAAATATCAGAGAGGAGTAAGTACGACGTGTCTGGCTTCACAGAGGGAGTGTAAGAACAGGAAAACTAAGCCACTGGCTGAGGCCAAAATAAAGGTCACTACCTTAGAGACTGATGTGAACTGATAAGGAAACGGTTCAATAGAACTTTCTAGAGAATTGACGATGTTGTTGCTACTTGAGGTTAGGAGTAATTATGAAGTGAACTAAGTATGCCAGCCATGGCAATGCACGCCTAGCCTCCCACCACTCTGGTGGCAAGACAGGAGGATTGGGAGTTAAGGACAGCATGAACTAAATATTAAGATTAAGGGAGGGAGGAAGGGAGGGAGGATAAAAAGCAACAAAGTACATGTAGATGCAGTAAAATGTATGAGAAGGAAAGATGAGAACCACAAGCAGCATGTAGGATGCTAGGAGCAGGCACAAGCAGAGGTGGAAACCATGTGAGATGAAGGCTTTATTAGTGTCAGCTTTTGTTGAGTAGTAGATTTATAACTCACTGATACGTTTTTAACATTAAGATTAGGAATTTGCATAGTGAACACATACTTATACATATATATATATATATATGTATGCATGTATGTGTGCACATTTGAATAGGTGTGTATAATGTGTATATATGTATGCATGTGTGTATAGTCTTCTGTATGTATGTATTTTTGCTATGTATGTGTGCATGTATATATATATATATGTATGTGTCTACATATGTGTGTGTATATATGTGTATGTATGTATGTCTATGTGTGTATATATGTATGTATTTGTGTATGTGTGCATGTATGAGTCCATTTATATATGTGTGTGTATATATGTGTATGTATGTGTGTCTATGTGTGTATATATGTATGTATGTATTGTGTATGTGTGCATGTATGAGTCCATTTATATATGTGTGTGTGTGCTCCCACTCACATGTTCATCTTAGTGAAGATATTAAAATAGTCACACATAGAAACATGTCTGACACACTCTTTAGAAGAAGAAATACACCCTAGGACTGACCATGGTGGAGTGGATTTGTATGGCACATGAGCTGATAGAACAAAATAGGATGGCCCTGTTTGTAGCACAGAACAGGGACATAGTTCCCTCAATGTCTAGCCCTCTCCTCTTTCCTCCCTTCCTCTCTCACTCAGAACAGCACGTCATGTGATCCCACTTTCTGTTTTCTAGACTTTTGTTTTATCTGAAATATCCACACCTCATCCAACAGTCTTCATCTTAGCATGTTTTGTTTGCTATGATATTAAATTATATCAAAATCTACGATGTAAATTTGCTATGTAAGCATTTAAGCAACTATTTCTAGCTAATAGCCATTTAAAACCATTATCATTTCCCTTGAGTCCTGACTTTTTTGCAGGGTCCTGGACCTTGTGAAATTGCCTCTGCCTTTGTCAGTGAGTTTTGCTCTCTTTCTAGGGCATCCCAGGCCACCCTGGGCCTCCTGGGCTGGCTGGTCTACCAGGATGCAATGGTTCTAAGGTACGTCCTGCTTGCATGGATGACTAATGAGAGCATTGCTAGATGAATAAGTCAGGAAGAAGCTGTAGTGAGATAAAATGGACTTTCTGGAACACTCTTTTAATCAGAAACAACAGCATGGTTTTGAGTAGGGATTGATTCTTTCTCCTTATGCATGGTTTTAAAGGAAGTTTTCCAACCGGCTTTCACAGAAACTTAATGGCTTACTTGCATCAGAGGTTGTAGATGCCAATCAGAGACTAAAGCTTCAAGTACAAAGCTAGTGTCTGGGAAGAAAAGCCTGAGCTATGCAGGGCCCTCTTGCTTCCTGTGTGTCCTAACTTAGTCCTCCGCTCCCCTAGAAGGGTGACCACGAGCGAACTAATTACTAAAGTTCCAGAAGCAGCAATTAAAAAGTTCTTGGCACAATTAGGCTACCATTTATGCCCAATTTGAGAATCAGTAGACCCTGATCTTATTTTCAACTAAGATAATGGGTTTCTGGCCCTCAGCCCTCTGAGGAGTAGCCATCAGGAATTTGAATTAATTTGCCTAGGTTTGGAGCGGCAACTGGGGGATAGCTATCTGCATGGGATGTTCTAGCACAACTAGGAACTCTGACAAACTTTCCGTGTCTTCTAGGGTGAACAAGGATTCCCAGGCATTCCTGGGACACCAGGCTATTCGGGGTTCCCAGTAAGTTTACATCCCTAACTCCGTATCGCAGACATAAATTACTGATGAAAGTGGTCCATTCCAAGTGCCAGGCACACAAACCTCTCCTGACAGGGGTAAGGTTAACAACTTATTGGACACTAAGACAGAAAGAAAAAGATAGGAAGGAAGGAAGGAAGGAAGGAAGGAAGGAAGGAAGGAAGGAACAAAGGGATTAAGGAAGGAAGGAACAAAGAAAAGAATGAAAGAAGAAACAAAGAGAAGGGAGGAAGAAAGGGAGGGAGGGAGGGATGGAGGGAGGGAGGAAGGAAAGGTTATAAGATCAACTTTAGATATTAAGGTTTTGTTTTACTTTTGACACATCCACATAGAGATGTATAATAAACAGACTGATTGGAGGAGAGGATGTGAATTCTACCAATTCAGAGAGAGAGCAAAGAGAGCAGCGAAGGTCAGACTTCACTTCTGCATGTAACTTCTATGTCAAGGGGAATGAGCAAGGAAAGGAGAAAAGGTCCTAACAACTGAAAGTAACCCAGGAAGAGTATAGAATGGAAGCCCTAGTGAAAACTTACTTCAGGGAAGATAGGGAAGCCCCATAATGCAGAAAGGTCTGGTAATACAAGGACTGATGGATTGGTCTTAGGCAGTGACATGAACTCATTGGAAAGCAGTGCTCCCATGACAGGAAGGAACCAGGAGGCACGTATGGAACTGGGGAAATAGGTGGGAGAAGAACAGTCTGTAAATTTGCAGGCAAGATGAAGAGAGACACTGTCTGTATTAGAGGGAGGCAGAAGATGAAGAAGAAACTGTTGAAATGTAGAGATTTGAGCAAGTTGAAAGTCATTATCACGAATGTTATGGGGCCAGCAGGCAAAAAAAAAAAAAAAAAAAAAAAAAGGAAATAGAGGCAAGGTCAAATGTATGGATTTGTTTGGCCTCTGGTTAATGCATTGCTTCTTTCCCAGGGTCCTACTGGCTTGAAAGGACAAAAGGTAAGTCATTTGTCAACTACTATTACTGAAGATCTCGAACCATGTGTACAAAAAGGACTTCAATTAATTACTGAAATATAAACTATTGCAAACTGACCTCATAACCCAGGTCTTGGTGTTAATAACTCAGACACCATAGACATTAAAACATGGCACTTTCTCCTATTGAGCAAATTCCTCTGGCTCTTGACACAGACAGATCTTTGGGATGGTTATGTCATCCTTTAAGGAAGGAGAATCTAGGAGAAGGGAACTGGTCTCATGTTTGAGACTCCACATTCTAGATTAGGAATTATTACCAATTTGCATATCTTGGGAAATTATTAATTATTTCTTTTCCTCCTTATCACAGTAAGTTGTCATTTTTTTCTTTTGGAAAAATAGTACAAAAGTAGGAGGAGGAGCTTGTAAAGTCCCACCTACTGGAGGATCTGTAGGCAGCTAATGGTTTCCGGGGAAGAAGAGAGATTTTCCTCAGTGTTGTAGCTGCTGGCAAGTTTTCCATGCACCTATAAATAGCCCTGTGGCCATGATCCCACAAGAAACATGAATTAAACTTATTGGCTTACCCACACACAAAAAAATATGTGGGTGGGATAAAGACATGAAGGTTTGGGAGTCTATAATCAGCAGGAGTGTGGGAAAAATGGGGGGATAGTGAGGAGTGACTATGATCAGAATGCATTATGTATACAAGTACAAAATGTCACAATGAAACTCATCATTATGTGTGATTTACATAGGCTAACAAAAAAAGTTTTAAGAAGTTCTTTGAATCCTTCAAAAATAGAATAACTGAAAGTTTTAAAACACTTCTCTAGGTATATACATCCTCCCAGACACTCATCTTCGAGGAGATATGACCTTTAATAAACACTTAATGTGGAGCCTTTTGAAAATATAAAGTTGGTTGGGGCTGATGACTTTCTCTGTTTTCAAGGGTGAGCCTGCTCAAGGAGAAGACAGGGGATTCAATGGAAAAGGTGACCCTGGGCCTCCAGGGCCTCCAGGCTTCCAGGTATAACACTTCCAGAAGGATCTCTCATTCATATTCATATTATATCGTATTTATATTCTCTACCTACTGCCCTACCTCCCTCCTTCCTCACGGCCTCTCTTTCTTCTCGTCTCTCCCTGGCTACAATGTCCACTTCATGTGTCATTCTGACATTGACCTCACTAGGAGAAACAACAAGCTGGGATGCAAAAATGACACTGTAGACATCTTTTAATCTCTTAAGTTTCTGTCACTTGAGTCTCTTCAGGGAAGAGTTCCTCTCTCTGTGTGTATTGGCTGAAATCAAGGACAGGTTCACACCACGCGTTGACTACCACTTAAAACTGGAGTGTTAAAAGAACATCCTGGCTCCACTATTTACACAGCATCTTTAAGATTTTTATTGAAGCATGGCTCTCGCCCCTTGAACCCTGAAGAGTTTGCTCCACTGGTTCATCTGGAGCTAGCCTGGGAGTGTTCCATAATAGATCCAATGAGACATGGCTATTTGGGGCTTATGTATACTTTGTGATTCAGAAGCGCCCTTAGGTAGATATCTACTATAATTGCTGAAATTCAGGCTAATTGACCAGAAGTAACTTACCTTAGTTCAGAATTCAGTGTGGGAATTTCTGAGAAGAGATGGGATACTAGTCTCATTGAGTCGGAGTTTGAGTTAAGTCTGTGATAGCTGGTGAGCCAGGCCAACAGACCTAGGAAGCAAGGCTAAAACCGGAACAGCCATAGGAATGCAGCCAGCAGCAGTGATGAGTTTCTTAGACTGGCATGGGACAGGATGACTCTTAATACTTTGCATAAGAATAAAAGTTGCAGAAAGGAGAAAAGTGACCAGGAACATGGCTATCTACTGCCAGTGCACTTCTGTGAACTATTTATTGTTCAGGCACTAAAAACGGTGCAATGCACTTGAGGTTTCTTAGGTGCCAGTTATGTGGGACTATTTCTAGACTCTAGGGCCCAGATCAGGCAAAAACCAGTTCTAAAACTCTTGCCCTGGTGGATACGACGTTTTAGTGAGTAGAGAGGAAAAAAATGTCAATTAATAACAGTACCATTTGTTACACCATAATGAATGCTAATGAGAAAAAATAGTGCCAGGAGCAAGGACAGGACCTATCAACAGGGAAGAAGGACTCCAACTTTGGCCAGACAGAGAGGGAACCCAGAGCTCCAGTGGCACAGTCAACTAATTCGAGGTACTGATCCAGTTGAGAGGGTAGCCTTCTGAGGTCAGCTGTAGAGATGAGGGGGGAAGTATAAGGAAAACTAGGCAGGAGAGCTGTGGGTGGAGTCAGCCCTAAATGAGGAGGAGAAACACTGTCTAAAAGGGGGAATAAAACCTGAAAACTGCCCAAATCAGTAATTGTTGCTGGCCATGCTCCTGTATGCAATAGCAGAAGGATGTCCAAGCTATCTGTTGCCTATAGCAACGAGGTTGGAACTTATTCTAGTTTGTTGCAGTCACTTAGAGGGGAGGCAATATGCTCTTGGGATTTCATTAAAATATCACTATATCTAACTAATGGGCTTTGGTGTTATTTGACAAGTACATTAAATTCACTCTTCTCTTAACTTCAAGGGTTTTCCAGGCCCCCCAGGTTTTCCAGGGCCTGTTGGTCCACCAGGTCCTCAGGGAGATTTTGTGAGTATGAAGTCCCTGCTGCTATGCATTCTCAATGTACACATTAATGATAGCAAAATGTTTTAGAGCACTCTGTGGCTGGGTGTGATTCCTGCTCTAACTTTTGCTTACATCTCTTGTAGGGTTTTCCTGGTGCTGTGGGACCCAGAGGACCAAAGGTAAGTCTACATTCCTAAGTTGTAATAGTCAGAGCATCCTAGACAGCCCAGAAGCTTAGCAGACCACTGTGGGTACCTCCCCAGGATCACAGGAGTCCCAGCAGGAAAGGGGACAGGACCAGCAGTAACTTAATCCCTGACTCAGAACACTGGGAAAAAGCCAGGGTTTCTCATGTAACCCTTCTTTTTCTCATCAGTTCTTGTAGTGAGCTACTTTGCAAAATCCATGTGATCCCATGTGACTAAATGAAGGGTGACGGTGTGTGGTCTTTAATCTGGGCACGTTAGGTGCTTCTATTAAAAAAAAATCAAAGGGTTTAAGGATAGAAATGTTGAAAGAATAAAATAAAATCAAATGAAATTAAAATTTTAAGGTGTTGAATGAAGGTGAGCCTCACCAAGGGAGTATGACTAAGCACTGTTTCTTATTGATACTAATGACCTGGTGCACAGGAAAAATGGGCTCTCGCGGTTAGTACTTCATTGATGGATGCACATAAGCATTCTCTGTCCCTGTGCCCCCTCCCCTGCCCCTCTTTTTCCCTCTTCCTCTGTCTCTCATGGGTTCAGTTTATGTGGATGGCAGCTGAGGCCTGAAATCTCTTGATTCCCCTGCAGTTTTCTACATTAATGGGACCGAGGCTGTGGCAGCTGCTTTTCTCATTATTGCAGCCAAGTCCCTGACAAAAGCAATTTGAGGAAAGAAAGGCTTCTTTGAGCTCAAAGTTTGGGGGTACAGTCCACCAAGTGGGAGGTCATGGCAGCAGGAACATGAAGCCGGCCATGCTGCAGCCATAGTCAGAATACGACTGCTCAGGCCTTCTAGCCCCAGTCAGCCTAATTCAGAGACATGCCCAAGGGTCACCGCCATGGTGACCCCAAATCCCATCAAGATGGCAATCAAGGTTAACTACCACACTCAACAGTCACACACTCACGAGCATAGAAGTGAAATGATACTTGGGGACAGTAGCATGGGAGGGGTAGAACCAACCCAAAGTAAATATGCATGGAAATGCCACAAGGCAATGTTACTTTGTATGTTAATTTACAAAGAAAAGCCACAGTCCAGCAGAAACTTTTTCTAGAAACGAAATGCCAGTTAAACAATGATTAAAAACATATCTCCAGAGCAAAGATTCACTGTTGCTGGAAGATTGTTTGAAGCAGAAATGGCACATTCTAAACTAGGAGATATCCACATACAATGTATTGTTTTATGTATATTGTCACTACATGCACACTTCTACACGGCGACCCTAGGCTGTTTCCATAGAAAAAGCTGCAATGTGGAAAAAATTGATTTTACATTATGAACATTTTGTAAAGGTTTTCCTCCATGTTTCTTAAGAGAGTTAATTAGTAAGATAAAGACACTGGATCACATTTATAAGACTGTTTCATATCATCTTTACTATGAAAACCATTAAAACAAGAATAAACTGCCCTCGGAAGAGTTCTATAAAAGATACTGCTTCAAACATTGAGTTAACCATTGTTATAGTCTGATTTCAGTTGCATTAATGAATTGCTACAGACTGGGTAGAAATGTATTCCTTATCTCGATAAGGAGTCCAATGTCAAGGGGATGTATCAGGGTTTTTCCTTTCCTTTTAATTTTACTTTTACTTTTACATTTATTTCTTTATTTGTAGAACATACATGACATGGAACATGTGTGAAGGACATAGGACAGCTTGAGGGACTCAGTTCTCTCGTTCCACTATGTAGGTGTGAGCAATTGAAGTCAGATGGCCAGCTTTCGGGAAGGTATCTTTACCCACTGAGCCATTTTGATAGTTCCTTTGTAAAGGAGTCCCTGCAGAGTACAGAGAAGTACAGACACCATATGACGAAACAGAATGACATATGCAGAAGGCTCACTTTCCTCCCCCACAACTCACTATTCCCTGAGTCCAGGAATGAACTAATCGGCTCATTTTTAACAGTCCTACCCAGACCTACCTCTTAATAATGGTTTTAGATTTCCTCATTAGCTGTGGGTGTTCAGACCACAACAGCCATTGTTGATGAATGGAAAATATTCACCTAAAGTTATCTCATGTCACAAAATTAATACAGACGTGGCATGGCTGGCTTTCCACTCTTGGCTTTTCTGACTTGAATTGCAAGATCTTGAAGTTCAGTTACTCATCCTCTTATTTTTAGCATGGCAAAAGTAGAGCATCAGGAAACGAAGCCGCCAGTAAAGGAAGTCAGGTAGCCAGGAAGTTAAGGGCTCACCAGGAAACAGCCTGCCAATGGGATCAAAACCAGACAGTGGCTTAGCCAGAGAAATTCCCTCTGTACTGGCTTCCACTCCCCTCCCCCAACACTTGTGATATCCGTTATAGTCAGTGAGTTTCCAGTTTCCTGAGTCCCCAATCCTCTACCTTTAAAAGAAACACATTGCTGTTCTTAAAAAATGTAATATAGCTTTATAATTTCAAAACTAACATAGACATATGTCTTCACTTACAAAGACTGGAACTTTAATGAGTTCCAATTATTCATATTTATTTGTTTATTTATTTATTTATTGGGTTTTTTTTTGAGACAGGGTTTCTCTGTGTAGCTTTGGAGCCTATCCTGGCACTGGCTCTGGAGACCAGGCTGGCCTGGAACTCACAGAGATCTGCCTGCCTCTGCCTCCCGAGTGCTGGGATTAAAGGCGTGTGCCACCAACGCCCTGCCTCATATTTATTTTTTAAACACAATGTTTGTATACAAGGGGGTTCAGTAAAGAAACTGCTCCATTATTAGAGTGAAGAAAGAGAGAAAAAATATCCAGAGGCACCTGGAATAGTCCACAGCAAAGAAAAAAGATAGCAGACTAGACATAGCCAAGAGAGGGAGAGGGCAAGAGACAATAGTGGAGATAGTTGAGATAGCAAGAGATTGCTGGGGGGGGGCACTCTGTCTTCATAGAGAGAACAAACAGGAAGGAGGGAATCCTGAGGAGGCGAAAGGGCCTTTGAAATGTCAATTACTTGTGACTGAGGATCCTACTCTGGGCTCTGATATGTAACCACAGTACCATGTCAGTGGAGCCCTGCAAGAGAAATGACTCCTTAGGGGACATTTCACAAGTTCCTGAAGAATGCTGGCTTTTATATATAACATTCAGAAAACCTTCTATAGTCCCCCTGAACTCATTTCTAGCCATATGGACTTCCTGAGACCTACAGTGGCATTTCATGTTGTCTTGCAGGGTCATATGGGCGATTACGCCATAGGACAAAAAGGAGAAAAGGTAATTGACGTACTACAGTATGTGTGAGTGGGTCCGAAGACGTAAACTCCCAGGTGTACTTGCTTCTATTCGCTGGCCATTTTGAAATGAGTGCTTCCAATTGGCTGTTTTGTTGTGTATGAGGCAGAAGTTAAAACAGTCCTTTGAGAGAGCAGAACTGTTGCATTGATGTTGGGTGGTTCTCATTCTCTGCTGTACCTGTCTTTAGGGTGTGGAAGGATTAACAGGACCTCCTGGGCCACAAGGAACTGTGATTGTTACACTCCGCCACCCATACAACAAATCGGTAAGGCTGTAGCTCTGTGACTACAGTTGTGCCTTTGCTACTGGAAAGACATCTTGATGATTCCTCTTCTCTTTTAGAAGCTCCATCACGAGCTCTCTTCATCCTAGTTCCCCCGCTCCTGGCCAGCCTGAACATCTAGGTTTAATTCCCCCCAATATCTTTCATGGTGAAGGATGGAAAACTTAAATGGGGAAGTAGAGGCATGTGACTCCAAGACAGCAGCAGCCAGATTCCATTCACCCTTCTTCCCTCTTCCTTCCCATTGTCCCTAACACAGTATGTGTGGCCTTAATACAATGGGACGGCAATGACCTATGGACAGGGCAGAGGCATACTACCATCTAACAGGACCCTGTGCATGGCCATTGCAACCCCAAGGACACATCCAGTCTTCGCCAAGTATGCTGCTCCATGTCATTATGACAATGATCGATTTTTGTTCCTGTAAAGGGATGACTAAGAGGGCTGGGATATGGAGCTGAGCTAACTGAATGCTTAGGAAATGAATCCACAGTGGCATAAAGCCATCCAGCCACACGCCTGGCCTTGGACAGCCTGGGGGGGGGGGTTGTAAATAAAGAACTCAGATGGTTTCGAACTAAAGCTGGTTTGGCAATTAAATAAATGTAATATAATTTGATCCGAAGGATATGTTTTTTATTTCACTCTCAGCCCAAGTTTTACTGCTAAAACATATACACGCGGGTGCAGTTTCCACCTCTCACAACAGTTCCTTTTCCAAGGGCTCAAATTACTTCAAAATTCCCAAAGATGCATAGATAGATTGAGAAGCTGTCTTTTGGGGTACTTCGAGCACTCCATGGAGTTCTTTTAACATCATCTCCTACACCAATGAGGCAAGTTAAAGTACAGGAAAGAGCAAGTGAACAGTAACATCTGTGCTTGGTAGGCAGGCAAAAGACTATCAAGTAGATCATTTTACTATTCCTGATATTCATTAAACAGATGAGTGGATTTAAGGTCAGTGCCCAGACCTGTACTGTTGTTTAAGGGTTGATAACATGCTAGGTAATACTTGTCCCATCCTTGGGGTGCTGGTGCCAGTGCCAGGGCTTAGATCCAGGGTCCAGGTGCTCTCCTGATGTAACCCCCAAGCACAAAGGCACATTTTAATTAAGGACGTAGCACATCTTCACCAAAGGTGACAGAATGTTTTGAAAACCATCAGTAATCATAACTGCATTCTGACCTTAAAAGAATTTAGAAGTTTGAGCTCTACCAAATGCCATGTGCTTTTTGGTTTTCCTGTGTCATCTATTTTAATTAACTATAGTGGTTGATTAGAAACAGGGTTTTAGAAGAACTCTGATCTTACACCTTTATTGGCTATCAAATGTAATAGTAACTGGCAAAGAATATTTCTACTTGGGATACACAAAGGATACTTTTTCTAGGTTACAACAGTATTAATGTGAGATCATGCATAAAATGTGAAAGATGAGAAACAAGAAGAGCCCTTGTGCTGTTGTCATGAGTCCCAACACTGGTTTCACACCTAGTTTCACCAGACAGATGGTATTTCCAAACGTAACTGGTCTAATCTTATTTGATTGGTTTGTGATAGTGACCTTGAACTGTATGTATGACAGGACTTCAAGGGGGAGAAAGGAGATAAAGGAGATATGGGTGAACCTGGACGTCCTGGACCCCCGGTAGGTCATTTTAAGTCATTTTGTTCCTGTGACACATAAAACAGAACCTTAGTCCATACTGCTAAGATTATGTTTATTCCTCGACAGTTTTATACTGGAATACAATGTATCTTGATTAGATCCACCCAAGACTCCCCTCTCCCACTCCTGCCACTCCTCTGGACACGCCCCCATCACCTTCTTGCCTTATTCTTTATCAGTAATCCAGAGTCCAATTACTGCAATCTTTATCCTTATTTTGATGAATGCTCAACCTTTAAATGTCATTAACTAAAACACAGAGCCCAGGAATATTCTAGAATTGTCTTGAGGTCTTTTCTAGGTGAAATCTGTTATTTTTTAAAAATACTTTACTTTTATTTTATTTGAATATATGTCTGTGTGAGAATATCAGATTTTAAAGTTACAGACAGTTATTAGCTGTCGTGTGGGTGCTGGGAATTGAACCCAGGCCCCTTGGAAGAGCAATCAGTGCTCTTAACCACTGAGCCATCTCCCCAGCCCCTCTGTGTTATTTTTATGTCTGACTTGCCAATAGCACCTGCTTTGCATATCTATTTAAAATGAATCCTGACTTTAACATAATATTTTTATTGATTATTTGGAAATTTCACCTAATGCATCCCAATCACATGTACTTCCCAGTCCTCCCAGGTCCACCCCTGACCCTTATGACATCCCCCCAAAACAAAAGAAGAAAAAAATACCAAGTCCAAGAACACTGGAACCCGGTCAAACTCCCAGTGACCAGGCCCTTAAAGAAAACTGAGCCAGGCTGTGGCAGTGCACACCTTTAGTCACAGCACTCGGGAGGCAGAGGCAGACGGATCTCTGTGAGTTCAAGGCCAGCCTGGTCTAAAAGAGCTAGTTCCAGGATGGTCTCCAAAGCCACAGAGAAACCCTGCCTCGAAAAACCAAAGAAAAAGAAAAGAAAACTGAGTCTTTTCCCTACCCAAACTCCTGCCAAAAGCCAGCAACTATGAATAACTACACCTCAGCATTCCTACCACAAATTTTAATATAAAACTAATTCTTATGATAAGATTTTTCTTTTATACTCTTTAATTTTGAATATGGCCAGCAGAAGGGACAAATTATTTTTTAATCAATGAAAGTACAAAAATCAGGAAGTGCATTTCCAAAGCTTTTAATATCTCTGATCATACAGGGGCCACCTGGAGACTCCTACGGATCAGAAAAGGGTGTTCCTGGAGAGCCTGGTCCAAGGGTAAGTTGGCGATTCAGCACCATGTCAGCCCAAGGAGGGAGGGACTTGGGACTCTTTGGGTTGCAGAGTGAGATGCTCCAACTCGCAATGTTTTTTTTTTGTTTGTTTGTTTTGGGGTTTTTTTTTTAAATGTTTTTAAGTTTAGATAGATGGAATTTATTTTTCCAAGTATCTGAAAAGTTCAACCCTAAAACAAGCTCCAGGGACTTCAGAATCTGAAAGCTGGGGCAGGACTCTCCTCTAGGCACCAGTTCTAGTCTGTCCGATAAATGATGATATTCTGTGAAGGGGGAAAGGAATGAGGTACAACCCCAGACAACTTCAGGCTAATGACATGTAAGAAGACAACACACACACACACACACACACACACACACACACACACACACACACACACATATTGAAAACTCCAGAGGTTCAATTGGATTGGCCTAGCTTGCTCATGTGTCTCACTCTGCAGCAATGGCTGTGGCCACAGGGGTCAGGTCCCTGATTGGCTAGGCGTGGGCTCCTGGGAATGATAGCACAATAGAAGCAGCCTGAGTGGAGACAGAACACAGCATGTATGTAGTGTGTCTGGAAGTGTTATACTGAGAACACAGAAGCAAGCAGGACCCACTTCCCCATTCAGCTACATTTTGGAAGATTTAAACAGACACATCATGTAAAAACTCTAAAAAGCATGGGTTGAAGAGAAGCAAGTGGAGTAGGGATGTTCAAAGAAAACTGATTCAAACTTGCCTGATTTTAAATTCTATCAGAAAGGGTCCAGACCACAATATTTCACCTAAAGGCATGTCTTCTCAGACACCACAATATTTAAATATTTATCTAGGATTTAAGAAATTACATTTCAAATCAATAATTGTAAACATTTCCTTCTCTCTAAATTCTTTGTTTACCTCTCTGCTTGGTACTTCCCTGAGTCTCCTTCCAGTATCAGGATGGGACAGGAACTCCACTCAAAGCTTAGCCATCCTCTCCTCTCCCTCCCTTTGACTCTAATCACTGCTCCTACCTAGCTTCCGCCTTCCCTGTAAGAGATGCCCATCACCTGTAAGGTTAGGAGTCTTACCTTAAGAGATCATGCAGTGAGGAACCTCCCTGGGGGCTTTCTTTCCTGTTGTCAACAGGAGATTGTACCATGGATATTTTCTATGTCTACTGTCGTCAATCTGTTTAACTTATAGTTAAACTTCAGTGGTTTTGTTTTAGGGAAAACCTGGAAAAGATGGTGCTCCTGGCTTCCCCGGCACTGAGGTAAAACATATCTGTTGATATATCATGGAAGCAGTAGTGATAGTAGATGGATATTGATAGTAGATAGAAGGATATTGAGAGTCATCAGGTGAAGGTCAACTGAACACACTTAACACTATGCCAGACACAGAAGGACCGATACTGCTCAATCTTCTCAGACACAGTATGTACAGCAGCAATTCTCTCAGAGTAAGAGAGTAGATATCAGGGGCTATGAGCTGTAGTGAGTTGGAGGGACAAGACGTGGTTAGTCAGTGGATGCAAAAGTTCCATTTACTCCCAGGCACAGTCTCACAGTAAGGTAACTCGAATCAACAATGGTGCATTGCCTACTTGGAAATAGTTAAGAGGATTGGACGTGGTTAGTCAGTGGGTGCAAAAGTTCCATTTACTCCCAGGCACAGTCTCACAGTAAGGTTACTCGAATCAACAATGGTGCATTGCCTACTTGGAAATAGTTAAGAGGATTTTTAATACCATAACAAAATGATAGACAATGGAGGGGGGCGGTTGCCCTAGTTCCATGACCTGGTCAATACATGAAGTACACAATCTAGTAGATACACTGTGACTATACAGTCAATGTGATCTCGAAACATCACATTGTATACCAAATGTTTGTACGACTATTACGTATTGACTTTGAAAATAAATCTTAAATATTTTAAAATTAGGTAAGTTCAGACTGCACATGTTTCATTGAGATGCAATTGACTCATGTCCTCTAATCTACTGCCTACTCTAATCTTTTACCTTTTCTCTAGGGAGCCAAGGGCATCAGGGGCTTTCCTGGATTAATGGGTGAATCTGGCATTAAGGTAACATCCTCTCTTCAGTCTTTTCCAACTGGTTGGGCATCACCTACCTTCACAGTAAGAAGGAATTGCAATCTCAGGCTTTATAAAAATACATTAGGCGATATTGAATTGAAGTACATGTTTTGGATCTGTCTTCTGAGGTTTCCACATATAACGGAAGCTGCTAGTATTACTGAGCATTTCATTTGCCCAGCTGAATACTTCTCAGATATTACTACTCCATCCAAAAGTTGTTCCTGGGAAATGGGTGTGAGTCCCATTTCACAGATGAGAAGGTTGTCTTTGTGAAATACATGGCAGGCTTTTGTGGACTCTCTTCCCTTCCTCGGCACCTTTGACAGTGGTTACTTTTCCTGTGAGTGTGTGTGATCCAAGATCTCACTCATTGTGGCTCACAGATCCCGTCCAGTCTGTCTTACTAAATTTCTATCTCCTTTAGATTGTTGTTGTTGTTGTACTGATTTTTGTTTCACTTTTATTTATTTATTGGGGGAAGGCCTATGAGCCAAAGCTCACTGGTAGAGGTCAGAAAGGACTTGTTGGGAGCTGCTTCTCTCTTCTACCATGTGGGTTCAGGGAATCAAACTTAGATTGTCAGACTTGATGGCAAGCACCTTCACCCATCAAGCCATCTTGCCTGCCCATATGTATTGCTTTTTTTAAAAAAAAATTATATTTTTATTAACAAAGTATTGAGATTCAAAGCTGTGACTTGACCTTTAGCCAGGAATCTAAGAGGGTCACGGAGTGAAATGTGATCACTGGATAAATATGTGCAGTGAGAACTATGGACGCTGACCAGACATTCTGTCAGCCCTGTGGCTCCTCTTGGCTCTTCCCCCTGCCTCTCCCTCTAACAGTGCTGGTTATCACAGTGCTGTCTGTGCCTTTGGAGAGCAAGCTGGTTCACTCTTGGGTTAGACACGGAGATTCCCCGAAGAATAATATAAACTTATTTTGTGGATCATTGATAGTAGTTTGAAAAGAAAGGAAAGACCTTTGTGATTTTTTTAAATCATATTTATTTGAATGCCTGAGAGTAAATAATAAAAGGAGCCAGGAAAAATTCTTGGCTGTTAAGCATATTTGCCTAGATGAAAGGACAGAGAAACATTTAAGATGGCTCTCAAGGAAGAGATAAAGCCCTGCTCTGTGTAGTTGAAGTTGACACTAGCTGGCTCGGCTTTCTCTCTCTCTAGTGAAGTATCAGGTCCCTATGAGGAGGCTATCAGAAAAGGCCCACAGTAGCTGTGATCCATCTGGTCACCTGAGGTCATGTAGTCTGGACCCTGGGACCTCAGCCTGGGTCATGTATCCCTGAAAAGTCCCAATCAGCTAACTGGGTACTGTATTCTATACCACCTGCTTCTGATATGCTGCCATTGTTCACAAATAATTCACAAATGCAAAGATGTGTGTTCAGATTCAATGTTTGCCTTTTAATAGTCAGTCCTGGAAGAATTTTGGATGGCCCTCTTGAAACAAAGGATACACTGACCATTAACTACAACCTTGACCTGGCTATACATATACAGTCTGTGTGAGAATGTGGACATGCATAGCATGTGACCATTCAGTAAAGGGGACAAGAGGGAAGGAGAAGAACAGACAAGCTAACATCCCCTTCTTCCCAGCCTTGTAGACAAACTCCACCTAGACAAGGGCTGGTCAAGGAGATGACTTAAAGGCAATGCCCCTGTAATCTGGTTTGCATCTTAAACCTAAATGACACAATATTGACTATTGACTTATTGTCAAACCTTGCATTTTGTTTCTTCACTATGCTGCATTGGGCTTGTATATTCATCTGCAACTGTCTTTCTGTACAGGGATGGAAAGGAGACATTGGCCCTCCAGGATTTCCTGGTCCAGTAAGTGTAACCAGAGATAACAACATCAAGTTCCTTCAAGCACTGAGCAAGTTTTAAATCAGCATTTCTCATTCGCTGTTATGACGAATATGAATTTACATTTTTATCAAGCCAAGGCAAAAACTAGTTGATGTCATTATTTACCCATTTGGCAATAGATAAATATTTCTATTTGATTATGTTTGAGTCCTAGAATGTGCTAATAAAGCCCATTTTGGACTCAGAACAAGAAAAAATAAACCTTAGCTTCGTCAGTTTGTCCAAGGTGATCCTGTGTTCTCAAAGCGGAATAAGAAGGCTGCTGAGTACCTAGGGACAAGAGAGCCTGGTCCTTCCTTAAGCATGGCCCACTTTTAACAGCAGGCAGCTGCAGCTCAGTCATAGGCTTCGGGCAGGTCAGCAGGAACCAGTCCTTACAACCCAAGCTCCACTGCACTGGGAACACCACCCTGCCTAGCACAGACATGAATCTGATGACACTGCAGGGCTCATGAGAAGAATGGGAGTGCCTGCTAGCTCTCAGTTCCACTCATTTTTCCAAAGCAGTCAGTCTCTTAGCCAGTGTGCTGAGCAGTGTTTGTATGTCGAACTGTACAAGCTGTACATGACCCGGGATGGCAAGAGTCATGGGATGCATCTCATTTAAAAAACGTAATTCTCAAGGCTGGAGAGAAGTTAAGAGTCCCTACTGGTCATTCAGGGGACCTGAGTTGGACTCTTAGCACCCACCCTTGGCAGCACATAATCACCTGTGACCCCAGCTTCAGGAGATGCGAGCCTCTAGCCACGTTTGGAAGCTGCACCTCCATGCACATAACCGCACACACGAGTGCACATGCGCGTGTGCTCACACACACACACACACACACACACACACTCTCTCTCTCTCTCTCTCTCTCTCTCTCTCTCTCTCTCTCTCTCTAAATAAGTGAGCTGCTGAAGAGATGATTAGAACTTAAGAAAAAGCCGTTAAATGGCTTGGCTGCCAGCACAAACATAGTGGTTCATAACTATCTGTAACTCCAGTTCCAGGGCATCCAATGCCCTCTTCTAGTCTCTGGGTGCCAGGCACTTAAGTGGTACACACACATATATGCAGGAAAACCCTCACATACATAAAACAAGTTGTTTTTTTTAAATGCAGCTCTCAGACCCCCAAGCTACATAACTTAACTCACTGAATGAAAGTGGGTCCCAAAAGTCTGTATCTTTCTATTTCAGATGCAAGTCACCCCCCAAAAAAACTTTTGTGGAATTGCTAGGAAAATCATAAGCTACAGTAGAGACCAATATCTGGCAGCTGTACAAATAATATTGTGGAACTTAGGATGATCACTATTACATCATTGTTATTGGTAACTTTTGTAATGTAATATACAAGGCCTAAATAAAGGCTCTTGTTATTTTAGTTTTTAAGTCAACAAATATATAAATGTGTTAGTTGACTCAGATTATAAAATGTATTTCTAGGGCTAAGGATATAGCCCTATGGCCCAGTGCTTGCATGCACAAGGCCCTGAGTTTGATTCCCATCACAGAAAGATTTTTTAAAAAAGTAACTAAATTAAATGTAGTTCTAGCTGAAAGCCTGTGATATAAATAATGATATCAGAATAGTCATCTTTGTCTATACATTTAAGCATTGTATGGGCATGGCCAATATTTCTGCTAATATAAAAACCTCTGAAATCAGGAAAACAAGAAAATTCCTTTTTAGGCCAAAATGAAGAGACTGAAGTAAGCGGGGTTGGCGAACAGTCCTCCAGTAACTTTCCTATTTATTCTTTGCCTTCTTCTTTAAGACAGTATATTATGATGTGTCGTACCTGGAAAAGGGAGATCAAGGAATACCAGGCCCACCTGGGCCCAAAGGTGCCCGTGGCCCACAGGGTGAGGATACACTTCTTCCCAAATCCTTTACCATCATTGCTCTGTCTTTCTTTCAAAGTGATGAGCAGTATTCTTTATAGAACTATGAGTTTCCAGGGGAAGGGGGAGGGGAATTCCTACTTAAATAAGTGGAAGTATTTTTTGTGTTTCCAATTTTCATATTTTACATGAAAATTTTGTGTAAGTGGTATACCTTAAAAGTTGAATGGCTACTATAATGATGTCCTCATAGAAGATTTAAACAGTGGATGGGGAGTACCTATAACTTTCCAAGCAATTAATTGGTATAATGTATTCCCAGGTCCTAGTGGTCCACCTGGAGTTCCTGGAAGTCCTGGTATGTTTGTGTTTCTTTGAGTACCCATGAGAAAATGCTATTAAAATGGGAAAAACCACTGTTTTTTCAAGTTCATATTATTTATAAAAGACAAATTTCCATTTATTAATCTAAATGAGTTTCTGGCTTAACAAATATAACGCAGTGATATTTGTGACCACTTGTTTAAGTAGGCAGTGGCAGGCATTGAAAAAAACTGATAAAGTGACTCTCAAGGATTTTAAGTGTAAGCATATGACTTTGGGGTATGAGCAGGAGCCCTGATCCTCAGAGGTGGCACAAAGGTAGAAAAACATTGATGTCACAGCAAGAAGGTTGGTTGAAAATAACCATTTTTGTTAAATAATACAAGATCTACAGGGATACCTACATTATAATGAAACTTTTTCTGTAAAATTGTTTTTGTTTTTTGCTGGATTTTTTGCTTGCTTGTTTTTGATGTTGTTGTTTGGCTTTGTTTGGTTTGGTTTGTTGTTTGGTTAGGTTTTGTTTTGTTTTCAAGATAGTTTCCCTGTGTAGCTCTGGCTATCCAGGAACTCTCTTTGTAAACCAGGCTGGCCTCGAACCCACAGAGATCCGCCTGCCTCTGCCTCCTGAGTGCTGGAATTGAAGGCATGAGCCACCATATTTGACACTTTTTCTGTAAAGTTTTACATTTTCATCTCTGCATCATTTGCACATTTACCCTCCAGGGGATAAAGACTAACATTAGAGATGTGCTCACAAGAACCGATCAATGGTGACTGTGCCATGTTCTTTTAAAAGGAAGCAAATTTAACAGACACAGAAACTGACAAATATTGTGTGTGCCTGTAGACACCTGCTACATACACACATGTATATACACTTATGTATACACGTTAGCAGTGGGTATCTCCTGAAGCTAGAATGAGCAGCATCCAGATAAAGGCTCAAGAAGACGTCCTTCTCCATCCCAAGCCCCTAAGGAAAGAATTTCTCCTTTAAGAAGGTAGTGAACAGAAAATTACAAGATTCTGAAGGAGATAATGATCAGAAGGATTTGGTTTTAGACTCAATTAACAACCCAGCTGGTTTCTTAGCCCTTTGGTGGTGATATCACTCCTCCTAATAATTCAATTGTTTATGAGGCAGAAGTTCAAGATGGCCTCTCATCGCAACATGCTGACTTAGTAGAGTTGGGTCTATACCATCTCACCTAGCGTCTCTACTCAGATATGTCTGCCCTTTCCCCACCTTTTCATAGTGGAAATACATCTTAATTACAGCTTGTTCTTTCTCAATTGGGGGTGCCAAAATTAAGCATTCTCTACTCTCTAATTTAAAAAAAAATCCATAAAATAACACACGTGCAAGAACTCCTCACAAGTCTTTGTACATGAAGTCTACAGCACAGCCCAGATCCTGTTTCTGCTCCTTATAATGAATTGGAATGGGCTGTTTTGCATATCGTCTTAGTATGATGTAATCTAACAAGGCCACCAAGGAAGGAAGGATAGTCACTTTTTATTTTACATGCTTTATGTAGCTATCAATGGTATAACTCCTGTAAATAAGAATATATCTTTCTGTTTCCAACTGAAATATAAAAATATTCATCAGAAAAAAATTGTAACACTACAAATGGCTCTTTTTTCCAAGGACCATCAAGGCCTGGCCTCAGGGGACCCCCTGGACAGCCAGGCTTGAAAGGAAGCAAAGGCGAGAGAGGACCCTCTGGAAAAGACACTATGGGCCCTCCGGGGCCCCTGGGCTGCCCTGGTTCACCAGGTCTGCCAGGCCCACCAGGACCTCCAGGACGTCCAGGTAAAGATATAAAATGGAGTATTTAGGAGTTCATTGTCCTATGGCAGATAGGTGACACAGAACTTCCTAAGAACAACCACTCAAACCAATCTAAACACAGACAGTCACATATGCCTGTGTATAACCCTAGAAAGTCTAAGTGAAACAATACACCTTTGTAACCTGGTCGGCACGTGTTTATCAGTTGTAGGTAAGCTTCTAAAGGTTCGCCTTCCTCCAACAGGACGGAGGAAATGCATGTTAAATCATATGTATATTGAAAATTTGCTTTCCGAAGAATGCAAATAAAAATCAACTGAGCGTGTGTGTGTGTGTGTGTGTGTGTGTGTGTGGTGGCAGTGGTGTTGTTGTTTTGTGTTGTGTCAGTGTTGATCATTGAACCCAGGGCCTCATGCATCTCTTGCTTGTCAGACAAGCAGTCTAACCACTGATATACCCAGACAAAAACTGATCTTTGATGGTGTCTTTTCCTAGGTAACATTGTTTTTCACCCGGGTCCACCTGGTGACCATGGAGTGCCAGGCAATATAGGACCTCCAGGAGACCCAGGAATGGATGGGCCCAAAGGTTTGTTCAAACCCAGTGTTATTCTATTTAAAAAGCCCGCTTCCATAACTGATTTTTTTCCCTATCCAAGCAGCAGTGATCTCAACTAGTCAGAGAATGACTTCTTTTTCAAACGAATTACCTAGAAGTATCCACTTATCTGTCAATCGGTAACCCATTAGCCATGCAATGAATTGCTGGCTAACCCTAAATGAGAGTCTATCCTACCTGCACAGGGAGAAACTGAAACAGAAGATGCTTTGTGTAGATTTTTCGGCTTTCCTCTCTCAAAGAGTCATAGCTAACAAGAGAGTATATAAGGAAATGTAAATTAACACAGTGATTAGTTTCACAACATTTAAAAGATGTTGCAATAAATGCTGGTGGGTGGGAACTACCTGTCCTTTCTGACCAGTCTGTGTGGCTTGGAAACCGATGCATGCACTGTCCCAATGCAGGAGAACCAGGCCTTCCGTGTACACAGTGCCCTGGCATCCCAGGGCCCCCTGGTCCCCCTGGATTTCCAGGATTGGATGGTGTCAAAGGAATCCCAGGTATGGACAGTTTGCTTGAAAATTTGTGACTTTGTAAGGACAGGAAAGTAAATAGGCTGTGGCCAAAATCTCATAAGCCTGGCATCTTTTTCCCAGTTTCATTTGGGTAGCTGCATTCTAGTGAAGGCTCTTCCCACCTGGGAATTGTAAAGATGTCCTGCAGGAGACCCAGAGATTGCCAAATACACAGCCCGCCAGTCCACTTTTGAGAGAGTCCAGGTTATATTCAGTATTTATTTTTCTTGTAAGCATGTGAGTGCAATAAAAAATTAGCAGCCATATGCACAGCTCTGGGGGTGATAGTAGTAAGAGAGCCTGAAGGACACATTTAAGAGGCCTGTCAGTCACTCGGCCTATTATACTCCAGCATTTTCAATTCTTTTTCATTAGTCTTTTAGCAGCAGCTGGCTTTAAAAATATGATAGCCTAGACAGATAATAGTCAAAAAAGTTTTGAAGTGAATCTATACATCTATACTTATTGACATGTACAGGACATGATTCTAAAATGGCACATATCTGAGTCTAATGAATTTATAGATATAAAATTTGCAACATATAACTAAAATTGAGCAAATATTAACTTTCTGGTGGTAGATTTACAGTTTTTTCTCCTGTATAATTTTCTTCAATGAACATATATTATTTTTATTACAAGAAAAATAAATATATATGTCCTTAAAATTGCAAGGTTGCCAGGGCTGGGAAGCTGGAATCTAAGTGCACTCTGGTTAACAACTTTTGATTGCATGGCTGGTTCAGAATGGAAATTCTCTTTCTGTTCTCACAAGGAAATGTGCTTTCTCCATACACGGCTCTGCTTTGCTCAACAAATCGTAATACATTGCTTTGCAGGAGGACAAGGTGCACCTGGTATGAAAGGAAACCTGGGGTCCCCCGGAAGTACAGGTCTCCCAGGATTTGCAGTAAGATTTCATGGTTATAAACTCTAGCTTCAGCTTGGAAAGCCTAGTCCTCTGGAAATCTGACTGCACCTCCCATGGGTCAGCAGTCGATGGCAGAGTGTAGGTTTTTAACTCAGAGAACGGAAGTGCTTCACGGGTACTTCTTGAGTAAATGAGTGAATTTATTTATCTACATGTCATTTTTAGTGGTAGCAGAGACAGAAATTAGGTCATTGCCTGGGGCTGAGTGTGGAAACAGGCATTGATGATAGATAGATTTGAGGGTATCTAAGGGTGCAATGAAGATGTCTTAATGCTGATTATGGTTAATATCATTGAATTTTACTGATATATAATTATATGTATACATATTTATTTACATACATACATATAGAGGATCAATTTTATGCTATGTAGTTTATACCTCAATATATCTTTATATACCCTTGTATCTCAATATAGATGTTAAAATTACTGATCATCTGTCATTATACTGTGTCATATATAATCCTGTAATTAATTCTATTCATTATAATGAGTTAAAAAGTTATATTTGATAACTAAGAAATGCATGTTAAAATTTATCAACACTGAAACAGTCTGAATTACAATGGTGGTATTCCATGTAGAATTTCTATATTTGTGACACACAAAAAAGTTCATGTTAACAGTTAAGATGGTGGCTTATACCTGTAATCCTAGCACTGGATACTGAGACAGGATTTCTGTGACTTCAGTGTCAGCCTGATCCACAGTTTGAGACTCTGTCTTGAAAAGCAGCCCCCCTCCAGCAACAGTAATGTATGCTAAAAGATATCCATGTTATAGCATTTACCCCTAGAGCAGAAGAGAGACTCAGACTAAGGAGGGCGTATGGGCAGTCTCTGTGATGTGGGCACTGGGCTGTCTACTCTTCAGAGAGAGGTGTCGTGGGTCTTTGTGTTACAATAACTAATCAATCTCTAACATATGTATTTAATAGTATGTGTATATTGGGTGTTTTATATAAACACAGAACTACCTGTGTCTGTCAACATGTAAATATTAAATGTGTTTTAGGGGGAAATCCATGTTTATTAAAATTGAAAAGCTCTTATTGCTAATGTTATTTAAGACTGACTAAGGACAGTTCTACCAAAGCAGAAAACCAACTCAATTTTGTATCACCACAGGGATTCCCAGGGGACCAAGGACACCCAGGACTGAAAGGAAGCAAAGGTGAAACACCTTTACCCTGGGGGCAAGTGGGTGACCCAGGTGATCCTGGGCTCAGAGGCCTACCAGGGAGAAAGGGCTTCGATGGAACTCCTGGAAGTCCAGGAGCAAAAGGACTGCCAGGACCTAGAGGTGAACTGGTTCGTATTTAGGATTTATTTTTTATTTATTTATTTTTTTTTTTACATTTTCACTCTATACTAAAATGCTCACAAACTGGAGATAATACGATCACCAAAAATTCATGATCACCAAAAAACATGGCTCAGTTGGCAGAGCCCTTCCTAGCATAGAGGAAGCTCTGGATTGTATCCTCAACACGGGATATATGGGGCATGATTGCACATATCTGTAATCCAAGCTGGAGGAAGTCAGAACAGAAGTACAAGGTCATTCTTAGTTATGTAGAAAGTTTTAAGCCATTATGAGATACAAGAGATCCATTCTCAAAATAAAAAAAAAGGGGGAGAGGGGCCAGACTGTGAAAAAGAAGGGAAAAGGAAACAAGAGAAAATTACTAGCAAGGAAATTTTTTAGCAAACATTCTAGGGTCGTTCTTCTTCTAAGTAAATGCATAAAAGATACAATATTGGCTGGGCGGTGGTGGCGCATGCCTTTAATCCCTGCCCTTGGGAGTCAGAAGGAGGTGGATTTCTGCGACTTTGAGGCCAGCCTGATCTATAAAGCGAGTTCCAGGACAGCCAGGGCTGTTACACAGAGAAACCTGGTCTCCAAACAAACAAACAACAACAAAAACAAAAAAAACAAAACAAAAAAAAACAATCAAAAATAGGATACACTATTTAGGGATATATTAGTCAAATGAAGGGAAAATATTTAAAACATTTCTGTTCGTGTAAATGTTGTTCTTTTCATGGGATATAATTTCTCACACATTCAACTGAATATGTCACAGAGTAACACATCAAGGGTCTGCCATGATATACTTGTGAGAAATTTGCCCAAATTAATCTACGAAATGCCAACTTTTCCACTTTTCCAAAGGGTTAGTCAGATTTATCCAATAAAAAGATCTCATGTGGGAGAGTTTGGGGAAACTTGATAAGGAAGTTTGAAGATTCTCTCTCTCTCTCTCTCTCTCTCTCTCTCTCTCTCTCATACACACACACACACACACAAAACACACCATTCATTAACAGATTCTCTAACAAGGTGAATCTGATTCCCTCTGAATGTAGATATGGTAGGCAGCTTTACACACCATTCATTAACAGATTCTATAACAAGGTGAATCTGATTCCCTCTGAATGTAGATATGGTAGGCAGCTTTTCCTGGTGCATTTATAGGACCAGGGAGTCCCAGACAGCCTCAGTGTTCCCCCTATTTGAACTAATGCTAATCTGTGGTAAGGAGATACTGAACTGAGGCACTGCCAAACATGTTCCTATTGTCACAGGCCCTGAGTGGAAGGAAAGGAGACCCAGGACCTCCAGGGGCTCCTGGATCACCTGGGCCTCCAGGACCTGCAGGAGCAGCTGGACCACCAGGCTATGGGCCTCAAGGAGAAACAGGTCCGAAGGGATCACAAGGAGTACCTGGAGCCCCGGGACCACCTGGAGAAGCCGGTTGGTTAGTTTTTTTCAAGTCTTGCTTTTCTGTGAAGTGGGGATGGTCCCACAGATAGCAAAACTCCTTCATAATAATGAATATAAACATAAATTTGTTCCTGACAAATATGTCTCCTCAGAGATTGGAAAAAGAAAGTAAATACATGACAGAGAAAATCCATGTCCCCTGTCACAGGCAGCTCATCTGAAACTTCCTGTAATCATCGGTATCTATGACTGATATCAATACACTTTCCAAGGGTTTACAAGCACCTGGGGGAGGCAAAAAAGCAAAAAATAAATAAATAAATAGCTAAATAAATTAAATAAAAATAAATTGACCTGAATAAGTGTCTTCCCTTGGATCTGTGATTCCAGGTTACAAGCAAAACTTCAAAATAGCTAAGATAGATGAAAAGTCATTGATAATAATTTTAAAGCCCATGGGACTCTTGTGACCTATAGGTGCTGAAAATAATTCTCTGTCCAGGAGAAATAGGTCCTCATCTTGTGGTGTTTTCAACAAGGAATTCCTGTAAAGTTACCAGTTCTATGATCACTTTAGACAGTGGTTGCTAGGATACCCATGCTGTCCAAATGATCATAGTATATTCTCTATATAAGATTTGGGTAACACTCCATAGTGTTCATATATGTCATCAAGTGAATACATACTTTTATCCACATGTGTGTAAAGCTTATTTTATGTTTTGTTTTTAACTTTGGAGGCTGTTGTTTTCATCCAGGGATTTAGCATGCTGTGTGGAAAGTCCAAACCTAGCCCATTAGTGGATTTTATGTGGCCCCAAAGTTAAGAGTGGTTCCTACATCTTTCTTAATAATTGAAGAAAAATTTAACAACATTCTGTTACACATAAAAACTTATCAAATCCAAATTGGAGTGTCCATACATGAAATTATTGGAATTTAGCCATACTTCTGTGTCCTCTATGGCTACTGCACAATGACAGAGTTATGTAGTTGTAACAAATCAGAACCTTTATGAGGTTTATTGGCTGTTGTCTAATCTTTCATCCAGCTGTCTTCTGTTCTTTCTAAATATGAATATCATAAATTAAGGAGCTCATTATCATAAATTACATTATCAGATGTTCCCATCATGTACTGGAACCATACCTTTTTCATTATTATTAATGCACACCTATGAGAAGACTAATCACAGACATGGTTTACCATGGGCCACCATGTTCAGAACATTGCCTTGAATGTATCTGCTAGGTAACGATTATTTCCACAGTGACAGATAAGAAACTTCTCAAAGAGGTTAAGAAATGTGTCTAAGCTCATGGGGCTTGCAAACAGTGTGCCAAGCTTCAAACTTGAGCCCAAAGGCTGAGTCACACTTGCTGTTTTGCTCAATATACCACACTAACTTTCCATGAATAGCAGGAATCCAAACTGGTACCCTACCACTATTCTCCAGCTCCATTCCTAGTATCATTTTCTGAAACAAGCAAGCTTTCATTCAACAGACCAGCCTTCTGGGCTATTTTTAAATTATTATTAATAATAATAATTTCTATTTTGTTTGTATTGGTGTTTCACCTGCATGCATGTCTATGTAAGATGTCAGATCCTGGAGTGACAGACAGTTGTTAGCTATCATGTGGGTGCTGGGAATTGAACCTGGGTCCCCTTGAAGAATGGCCAAGGCCCTTAACCAATCTCTCCAGCCATCACCACCCCAATTGCTGGGTTATTAAGTAAAGCAAGGCTTAGACAGATGCCAATAAATATTTGCAGATCAAAGCAGAAAAGTTTCTGTAGACTGGTTACCCCTAAACTACAGGGATTGGTTTTATTTTCCTTGGGATGTGTTTATGATTCCCTTACAATATTTCCCACTGTTGTAAAAACATACTTTAATACGTAACAATCATGTTTTTTTTTCTTAAGGTTTTAAAGGAGAACCTGGCCCATCTACACCAGTTCCAGGTCCCCCAGGACCTCCAGGGCCCCCTGGTCAGGCTGGCCGCCGAGGTCTACCTGGTGAGTACCCCTCTTACCAAATAAAGTCCATGACATCAGGTGGGCCTCTCACGTTCCTGAGAAAATACTACTCCTGTTAGAAGGAAAAATTATATTTGTTGGGTCTGAAAGAGAGCACAAAGCAGGGGCCATTCTGAAAAGCAAGCGGGCAGGGGGCTTTCTGTTGTCCTTTGAGATTATTCACAAGTTCCCCTGGGGCTCCTGATGCAACAGGAGAGAACGGATCCAAAAGAGGGCTCCTGATGCAACAGGAGAGAACGGATCCAAAAGAGAACGGATACAGTTGCCTACAGAGGTTATAGAACAGAAGATCCCTGCGGCTTCTGGTGGGAGAGCAAGCAATACCTCCCCCATGGATCATGGTGTTTCCTTCAGCAACCTCATTTTGAAACTTGATTTCTTTGCTAAAGTGGTTTGAAATTTAATTTTGATTTTTCTGAGAAAGACATATAGGTCAAAATATTTAGGATCTTAAAGAATGAAGTAGAGTGTGAGTGCGTGCGTGCGTGCGTGCGTGCGTGCGTGCGTGAGTGTATTCTTGTTATTGTTGTTTTGAGACAGGTTTCTCTGTGTAACAGCCCTAGTTGTCCTGGAACTCACTTTGTAGACCAGACTAGCATGAACTCACAGAGATCTGCCTGCCTCTGCCTCCCGAGTGCTGGAACTAAAGGTGTGTGCCACCACCGCCCGGCCTAAGTTACATTTTTAAAATTCATAGCAGCTCCTGACCTCTAGTTCACTGGATGGAAGTGGGAAGAACGGCTGAGATTATGTTAAAAATTATTTCACAATTTCCAGAAAGTGTTGGGAGGACACAGAGAATACAGACATTTCTTTTGGGAAACAAATGAAGGGAAGTCACTGGTACACATGTATGTGTTTTTAAGGTTTGCCTGGACCTGTGGGAAAATGTGATCCTGGTCTTCCTGGACCTGATGGAGAACCAGGACTCCCAGGGGTTGGATTTCCTGGACCTCCAGGACCTAAGGGTAAATTAAAAACTATTTGCTGTGGATATTTTGAAGCTATAACCATGGATAGTGGATAAAATAAGAAATAGCTATGATGTGCTGCCCAAATGAAGCTTTCCAAGACTCTTCAGAAGTCTTAGGACAATGTTAGGTGAAAAGAGCATTCACATGGATTCATGCAATACCATCTCAATCATACTTTTTCTTTGTCCATTTTAACTTATTTTGTGCACCATCGAGGATACGGAGTATATGTGGAAGTCAGAGGACAATTGCCAGACTCCATTCTCTCTTTCTACTCTGTGGGTCCCAGGGTTGAACTCAGGTCATCAGGCTTGGCAGCAGGAAGCTTTATATGCTGAGCCATCGCACACACCCACCAATCAGACTTTTTTTTTAAAAGCGCAGACAAAGCAAACAAACAAAAACTCTGGAAGGTAATTTACCAAAATGGTAACAGCAATTCTTTCTGGCTATAAGAATGTTTTTTATTTAATTCTGCCCTTCTTAGATTAATATATTTCTTGACTTCACACCTATTAAATTACAAAATGAGCTGGGGCTATAGTACGGCAGTGTGATTAGCATCAATCAATAAGGCGCTGGATTCATCCCATAGCATCAAACAAAACAAAACTCTAGGCTTCCCTGTGAGCATGAAAATAATTAGAGTAGCTATTTTGCTTTAAGAAAAGATGACAGGGGTTGGAGAGACGGCTGAACAGGTAAGAGCATATATTGCTCTTACAGAGGACTGGAGTTTGATACACAGAACCCATGTCACGCATCTCACATGTGCCTGTAACTCCAGCTCCAGAGGGAACCTGGTGTCTCTGGTGTCTGTGTGTCTTAGCACTCTTATTCACATGCCCACAAACATATACATAATTTCAAGATGGCAAAATATGTCTTTTTTTGACAAGAAAAAAAGAGAGATGCTATTTTCATCAAAACAGAAACACCCCCCAAACTCCAGATGCTTATACTGAATAATTTGAGCTGCTCCTCTAATAATCACATCAAGTAAAATTGTGTCCAGGATCCATAAAACAAAACAAACAAAAACCATCAGGCTCTTGACTATTACATAGAACTGTAGGCTCTATGATGCTTTCGTGTTTGTTTCACAATTGCCTAAATTGATTATTAAAAATACAATCATTTTGATATTTTACCTCTTGTCAATAAGTCATTGTTAATCATTGCCCATCCTTGCCATCCAAGTAAGGGATAGTTCGTAAATGAAAATACAATCCCAAAGCAGTTTTGACTCTAATTTCATGGGTTTCTTCCTCCATGAAGTAATGTAGCCTGGTCCATATTTTGCCTAGTCCTTCCTGGACCCTCCCTTAATAATTTGCATGCCAATTTTGCAACTCTGGATTCACTTTCTGGAAAAATTTAGCAAACTAGAGGCAGCAGAACTATCCTAAGAGCTAGAGGACCAGGAAGTTGTCTTGTCGATGTATCTGTTGGACCAGGGCTCCATAATCTACATTTGATTAGTTGAAGTTTAAGTCTTTTTTTTTTTATTGAAACAATTTTCAGAGCCAATGCAATTTTACTTAGAACTGCATTTGATTAGTTGAAGTTTAAGTCTTTTTTTTATTGAAACAATTTTCAGAGCCAATGCAATTTTACTTAGAACTCGGTTTTTGTTTTTGTTTTTGAACTTCCAATTTATCAACTGGTTTTATCGTCATCCAAACGTTCATACACACATCTCTCTACCTGGATACCTCATAAATATATTTGATAAAGGAAATATTGCTCATAAACTTTCTATGAGACTAATCTCTAATGTTTGTTTCTTTTGTTTTGTGTTTTCTATAGGAGATCAAGGTTTCCCAGGAGCAAAAGGGTCACCTGGTTGTCCTGGTTCCCCAGGAAAGCCAGGCCGTCCTGGAGAGCCAGGCCACCCAGGAGCCAAGGTCTGCAACCACGAAATCACAGACTGATTTCAGGGAGGGGCAATCATAATCAATAGTTGCAATGTTCATATCAGACAAGACACTTGGGGTTTAGAATTTGTCAGTATATTTATAAAGATACAGATTTTTCAGGACATTTGTAGATATCAATTTTTAAGTTGCTGTGGATGCTTGAATTTCTATTCCTTTATTAATGACTTTATAAACATTCAGCATGTATAGGGGCACTTGTGCTCTCTTCAGTGAGTATGGACTGCATATCCTGATGCAGCATTTTGTGGCAAGGTCATTGTCTAAAGTTGAATGGGAAGTATTTGTTGAACTGTGGTGTCTATGCAAACAAATTCCGAGCACCCCTAACAAGAACTGAGAAGCACTGCACTGGAGACACTAACCTAATGTCTCTGCTGCAGGGAGAACCAGGATTAGGCACACCTGGGGAACCAGGAAAACCCGGCTTTCCTGGAGAAAGAGGCAATTCTGGGGAAAATGGAGAAATTGGACTCCCTGGGCTTCCAGGTCTCCCTGGATCTCCAGGAAAAGATGGGCTTGATGGGCCTCCAGGTACAACACCAAGTGGGGTTACCTTTCTCCTCAGTGAGGTCCACTGTAGGTGTCCTAGGGGGCTCTAAGCACTTCCATCTTGGTGAATAAATCAGAAAAAAAGGGGCCTAGCTCTTTTTCCATTCAATGTGGCCATTCTATGTTCCTCCCCTCCTTACTTCTTTCTTCTTATGTGAGTGTCCTCTATACAAGCATGTTGATGGTATTAAATATAGGTGTGGTTTGGGAAGGTGAATTTACAGAAAGATGAGGAGACAGCAGCACTGGAACCTTGTGCTTTGGCACCTGATCAAACCCCTGGATTGTCTGTTGCAGGAGACCCAGGACAGCCTGGACCACCTGGAGCAAAAGGGCCCCCAGGAAGCTGCACACAGGGACCCAGGGGCGCCCAAGGACTTCCAGGATTAAATGGATTGAAAGGGCAACCAGGTAGGAGGAAAGCCTCCCATTCAGAAGAAGGGAGGCAGGCGATGCAGCATCTGGCTCTGTCCTTTGCTGTTTAATATGGAAACTGTCCAGCAACAAGTCCTGACTGCTGTTCAGCAAGACATGTTTTTTTGGAAATGTAATCCTGGCTTTTATGGGTATTTCCAATAGTAGTCTGTACTGGTTACTTAAAGAGACTCAAACTTGACACAGTGAGTTGATTTGTCCCTTTTATATATGGAAATATGAACTCCATGAACAGATTAGAAGATAAAGATAGACTGGAAAGTGAGTGATTAATATATATTCATATATATTTTAATATATATAAACTTTCAATAAATATTTTACTATTAAAACTTCCAAAAAGAAAATAGTAACTTTATGATAATTAAAACAGAGAAAATGTACACAAAGCTGCCTGTTTAGTTGTAAACTAAAATATGTATTTGATTATGTCATGAGCAACATGAAACCAATATTTATGAAAATAAAACTGAAGTGAATAAGGCTGCATGACCCAGTTACTGTGAAACATACTTTGCCTACTTGGACCCTTTTAACCAGATTTGGTGATGGTTTCTAGAAAAAGTTCTTTAGAACTCCATTAGTGTTTCTAGACTAGCATTCTGCTTATTTGTTACAGATAAATTCTTGGCCAACACCTTAATCATTATAGTGGCACTACTGTTTGCAAAAGTGTGTGGGAGTTCACTTCTTGGGAGCTGCTATGTAGGTCTAAGGTGAAAGATTGGGAAACAACATAAAGAACAGTCCCAGAATGCACCTGCAGCACTCAGAAATAGACATATGATCTCTACCTTCATCACTGTATGACCCCCCCCCCCCGCAAAATAGATAACATTAGTGCAATGGGGATTGAGAAATTTTAGGGAAAGACAATAAACAAACACACTAATAAGTGTGCTGTTTACCCAGCATCGTGTAGCCAAGCATCAAAACTGAAATAATTTTTGAGTAGGTAGGGAAAGCAATTGTTAAGTCACGTGGTCATCTCTCCATCTATTCAACTGTAGGTAGAAGAGGTGATGCGGGGCCAAAAGGAGACCCTGGCCTCCCAGGCTTAGACAGGTCAGGAGTTCCTGGAGAACCTGGACCACCAGGAATGCCAGGTCACCCAGGTGAGATGGGACCACCTGGCCAAAAAGGATATCCGGGAACTTCAGGATCCCCAGGGCCACCAGGTATCCTTTGTGCCATTGTCTTCTAAGACTCCTTCATGTGTTTCCCTTCATGTGACTCTGCACACTGTATGCTTTTTCTTTATGCTAGTATATTTTTTTCTCCTAAATCATTTTAAGAGGGAAGGGTCAAGGGGTGGGAGAATGGGAGAAGAGAACCATTACATTTTATAATAACCCAATATATGGTTATTTTTGTTGTGGAGTAATTTTCACATTGTAAGGTATCAACTAGTATTTGGTCAGTTTTCTTGTGATGGCTCAGTCCTGTTTGAGCCAATGCTGGCCCTGTAGAGAACAGACTGGAATGAGTACTCCTGTCGTGTTTCCTAGAAGAGCTTATGAAGAATTGCTATTCCTTGACCACTTGATAGAGTTCACTTCCAAAGTCATCTGGCTCTGGACTCTTTTTTTTGTGGAAAATCTTGATATGATCAGTTTGGGATCTAGAGAGATGGCTCATCAGTTAACACCATTTGATCTTTTACCATGTCACCCACACCAGGTGGCTCGTGACCAGCTGTAACTCCAGCCCCAGGGGATCTGCCATACTCCTCTAGCCTCTTCAGGCACCCATACACATAATTATCAGTTCGATGTATATTTATAATGATTAGAAACAGTTCTAGTCGATTTTCGATTGCATTGTGAGTCCATTTTGGTACTGTGTTGCTCTAAAAATTTCCACATTGTATCTAAGTCATCTACAGTGTGGTCACAGAACTGTTCATAATATTATTTCTTCCTAATTCTTTTTAATTTGTGGTAGTTTTACCATTCCTTCATTTGTAAAGAATCTTCTGTTTCCTAGTGTCATAAGGACATCACTGCTCTCCTCTCCAGGGAGGAGACCAAGATAATGGTTTAACTGACACATTTGCTTCCGTTCCTATTACTGAGCTTCTCTCATGTCCTGGCTCTGTTCTTGGCACTAGATTCACATCTCCCATAAGAAGAGAGCAATAAAAACTACATTTCAAAACCAACTTTAGGATGAATAAGAACGATGTATAATGGCATACGTAAATGAAAATGTCAGAATAAAACCTTGTCACTTAGGATGCTACTTTAAACAAATGAAGAAAAAAAAGTAATTTCACTAAGTACTATGAAAGAATAAAATGAAAGGTTCACTGGGAAGAAGGTGAGATGGCAAATGAAGTTCAGGAGTTCAGGGCGCTATGCTGTCAACCATGGTGTGATTTGCTGTAATGACACACAGGCCAATGAACATTTAAAAGACGCTGACCCATCTTTTACACAAACTTGGCTATCTTCCAATTTACAAAAACTATCCAGTCCCCCCCAAAATTTAGTCTCCATCTAAATTATTTTATTTTGCTTTTCATATTCATGGAGTACTTTGTGTTAATTTTTCCCTAGGCAGGAAAGGAGAGGTTGGGATGATGGGCTATCCTGGAACCACTGGCTGTAATATTTTGCTTTTCATATTCATGGAGTACTTTGTGTTAATTTTTCGCTAGGCAGGAAAGGAGAGGTTGGGATGATGGGCTATCCTGGAACCACTG